AACAGCAACCAAGTCACAGCACCTTGACCACCAGACCAGTATTGCATGCTGAAAGCGCGGAAAGTGTAATGAGGAAAGGCTGTGATCTGTTTATAAATGCTCTTTCTGGAAGCCAGTATCTCCACTGGCTGTTGGCAAAGGCAAAATCTTGAGTAGATGAGATTTTTTTTTTCTGACCCACTACACACAGGGTTTATCAAATGTTGTACTGTTTTTGAGAGTCTCAATTGGCCCCAAAAAACCTATGTCATCGCCACCGTTCAGAACAAGGTGTGAGGAGGAAGGAGCAGCAGCGAGGAGCTGTTACAGACTGACCCTAATCCCTACTCCCAAACCCCCTGTGCTGCTCAGAGTGGGATGGAGATAGAGGAGTCATCAATGAAGGAGTGAAGTGGAACCTGGGAAGAAGAGGGGTGGGTGTGAAGGTGGTTTAGATTTTGTTTCTCACCATCCAGCTCTTTTTTTAGTTTGCAATAAATTTAATTAATTTTCCCCAAGTCGAGTCTGTTTTGCTTGTGACAGTAATTGGTCAGTGATCTCCCTGTCCTTATCTCAACCCATGAGCTTTCCTATCTTATTTTTACCCCCTGTCCTCTTGAGGAGGCGTGAGAGAGTGGCTGGGTGGGCAGCTGGCGGCTGGCCAAGGCTAACCCACTGCAATGATATATACAATATATACATATATAGAATTATAAGTAGAGAGCAGTGTATAAATGTTTATAGATATATATTTATTTATACATAGATACACTATACGCTGTACTACATGATATATGTACTACTGCTATCCTACACTATGTAGTAGATAATAAACACACATTTATCAAGATACAGAAATATACATAGCCTAAAAGCAAAGGTACAAAATGGGTAAAACATTCTTTAATAAGAGCTAATGGAATGAATAGGCAAGGTCGGGGTCCTGCAGTTTACCTTTACCAGGCTGCAGAGCAAGTACTACATGCCCCGGGGGGGGGGGACTTGAAAAGGGCAGAGGGACGCCAAAAGGGTGGTGGGGCACAGACATGTTGGAATGTGCCCGAGGACTACAGACCCCCTCCCAGGAGGCCACCAAGGGTCCCCTGGTGCAAACCCTGTCACATGCAGAGACCAATCCTGTGAGCTGGACCAAGAAGGAAAAGACCTTAAGGGAATCCCCCAAACGGCCATATGAACCAGAAGAGCCGGCCAGTGGGCTTGTGAACCATGAACCGGATTTGGAGGTAAGTGCCAGACAGAGAGGGTGGGTGGCTGGGGGAGCTCCATTTACCCATGGTTGTGGGGGGATCTTCAAGCTACCTGTAAGACCACTATGGGGTGCAGGCTGCTGCTGTATATGCTGCTTTATCATAGGTCGATGACCTTATACAAAAGGTTTCAGGAAGCTCTGACTGACTGAGTGAGGGGGAATCGGGAGTGTGCCATGACTTCTCTGCCTTCCTGTCTGGGCCTGCAGCAGCCAAAGACAGGAGCACGGGCACAGAAGTGACAGCAGCATTCAAGGACAAAAAAGGAAAAAGCCTGAAGAAGTCTGACTAGCAACCAACTCCCCTCACACCCTATTAGCAAAGTTTCTCTGCACTTGAGTTAAATTGATTGTCCAGTGTTTCCTTTCATAAGTGTGTATAATAGGATGTGAGCAGACCGCTATGCCACAGCTTCTGTTAGCAGAGATCTACTGTCCTCCTGGGGAGGTGGGAAGATTTGGGGGTATAAATCCCCTTTCTGAAGCTTTTAAAAGGCAAATTGCTGATCTCAACAGAAGCCAAGTGGCAACCTGGCTTGCAAAGCAGGATGCTTATAGCTTAGACAAGGCAGCAAGAAACCACTTTAAAAGAAATGGGTGGTTGTGGCAGAGGTGGATGCACCATGGGAGGAAGAGTTGGTGGATATGCAACAGTATTCCGTCATAATGATGGTGTTTAGTAAATCTTATCAGTGACAGACATGTTATTCAAGCTTGCCTCGGCCATTGATCCAAAAGGCAAAACACGTTCTGAGGTAGCTGGGGCTTTTAAAATAATTTTAGAAGACAGTGCAAGCCTAAGAATTACAGATGGATCAGGGAAAAGAATTTTTAAACCAGCCTTTAAACAAGCTGTTAAAACAGATAATGTTCACCGTGTTATTACTTATAATGAAGTAAAAGCCTCTGCCATAGGGCATTTTAATAGGATGCTCAAAACCAAGGTGTGGAGATGTTGTACAATATGCAACACTTCTTGCTACGTTGATGTGTTGACAAGGTTTATAAAGAGCCATAACCATAGCTTCCACCATGCTATCAGAGCCAGGCATGTGGACACAAACATGTTAAACTCTGCAAGGGTTTGGAAAACTTTATATGGGGTTTTGTTTAAAATTAAACCATCTGTGCCTCTGCTCAAAAAGGGAGACCTCATCAGGGAGTCTAGAACAAAACGGAGATTTGAGAAAGGTTATGAGCAGATGTCCACAGATGAGATTTTCATAGTAGCTGAAATTGTGAGAATAGGACAGCTGCCTGCGTACTACTTAACAGATTACGGTCACAAAGCAATTGAGGGGACATTTTACCCTGAAGAACTTCAAAAAATGAATCCTGACAAGGACAGAATCTACAGAATTGGGAAGAACATTGCTGCAGAAGGGAAAGGAAGAAAGTAAACAGCTGCTGGAGAAGTGGCGGGGCTGCCCCCAGAAATTTAATAGTTGGACAGGAACCTCCCATGTCCAGAACATCTAGTGATTGACAGCGGAGCAGGGGAAAAAGGAAGGGTGGCAGATGGGGGATTGTAGAGCATTATGCTGCCCAGCAATGCCACCACCGGCATCTTTCCACAATACACCGGCATGAACTTTACTGTAGAGCTGGTGAGGTGCCTTGAGTGCTCAGGCAAGTGGAAGATGGGGCTGGTAGTACAGTACCTACACAGCTGGGATAACATCAGCAAAGATGCTACCTTTGAAATACCACTGCAGGGTAAGATACAGAGTATACTTTGCAGAAAGGCTATTATCTGTCCCTCTCCATGTTGATGGAACATGTGAACCATCATATTAACCCCCACAAGAGAACTTCAGGCATCAACTCTCCAGCAGTGGACCTGGTCGGTGACCCCATCATAGTGAAAACAAAGCTTAAAGCAGATAAAATCCTTACACTTGTTCTACAAACAGAGATCTAGCACATATTTTGGGGGCTTCTCTGCAGGTTGCTGCTAAGAAATTGCCCTGTCTGATGGACGTCACTGGAGGGTTTAACTCGCTCCACCACCACACACAACTTGCAGAGCACCAACTTGTCAGGGAATTTGCAATTCCATTATTGCTCTGTGTTTGGCTGGCAATAATAACAATGAGATCATTACAGTGATGTATGATAAGCCGCACTATGTGCTGGTAGATCACCACCACATCAACACAATCAGCATTAAAATAAAGACTGACCAGCATAAGCACGTCTCATTTTGCTTTGGGTAAGTGATTGAGAACTGCATCTTCAGCCCTGGAAGTAGCTAATATTTTAAGAAACCACACCAAAATGGAGTGATAAAAAATTATGGGGACCCATCCTTGCACATTAATTACTACAGAGCCTAGCCTGGCAATGGTCTCCCTGGTTTTCAAGCTGTTTTGTGTGAAGCATGGTGTGGGTGTTGCAGGTATATTCTGTAGCCTGTTTAGAAAGACCATCCTGCAACTGAAAAGGGGTTTGGAAATTGTTAAGCAACACATTAACAGCACCAGTCTAGATGCTGCAAAACACGTTTGGACATGTTTCCAAGGTTGTTCCAAACAAGTTGGAAGTGCCAGCAAATCAGGAAGGCTTGGGACTTGTTTGTATACAAATAAAAAGCCATAAAAGAGAGATGCATATCACACTCCCAGAAGGAAGGTCCACCCAGCCCTTTAAAAGAAAAACGAAGGGGGACACCAGGCAACAGTCTGACCAGGACAAGAAGAAGAAAAAGAACAAGAAGCCAGGCCGAACGGTGCAAAAGAAACAGAAAACCCAGAGAAAGAGGTCCCATTCAACCTGTAGAAAAGGAAATATATTTATGAAGGGATGACTTTCAGTCATGGCTGCTCAGAATAGTGTACCAAATCCAAGCTGGATTTGTTCGAAGTGTCCCCAACACAGACTTGCTTTGAGAAAAAGCCTTTTTATTGAGGTGCCTTCACTTTTCACTGTTGCAGAAAGTCAGTACCTCTGGACTTTTTCATAACTGAGAATGGGGAAGTTTACATAGATCTGGACAACACCCTGCTGTACTTTTCCTGCAAGATTGTAAAAGCTGACAGGTCCAACCGATGTGCTGGTGAGGCTGTGGGCCTCATGAGTTACCCACCGGACTCTGTTTGCAGCTGGCTGGATGTTACACTGGGGGACCAGCTGCCACACCCTCATTGAGTTTCCTCTCGATTACAGCCATGACACATTGTCAATGCATTTCTCCATGGGGTTGTTCTACAATGACACATCCGGGCAGTGGAAAGCGGGCATGCTGGATCGCGTCAGTAATCAGTGGTTTAGGCAACGGCTCTGATGGCCCATAGTAGGACTGAACTATTTGGACTGCTCCATGGTGATCTGTTCTTTCAAGGCAAGCTTTTGGAGAATGGTGTGAATGTAAAAATTGAGCTGATGTGCATCAAAGACAGCTTTTGTTTGATCAGCTCCCCAGCAGCAGGAACTGGTCATTACATATGCCTGTTTGTGAAGAAAGTGCGGGTGGCACCTGGAGTGTGTTTGGGGCACACTGGGGCATTACTTATGGCTAATCCAAAATAGCCAATGCACCAGATGGGCATGAAAGCGTCCAGCACACCAGCCGGCAGTTGTATCAGCAACCAGGAAAATTTGTTTCTGGAACAGCCACACAGAATTGTTGTTATTGGGTTCATAGATAACGATGCTTTTAGCAGCTATTATGCTAAGAACTCTTTCAACTTCAAGTATTATGATAGACATTTTGTGTCCCTGTATGTGGATGGTGAACTAATGCCAGTGAAACCCAATGCCGGCACTGCAGCCCAATTTTGAGAATGTCTGCTGTGTGAGAGAGTACGCACAGCTCATTGAGATGATTGGCCATTCCCTACTGGTTGACAGGGAAGAGTTCGCTGGTGGCTATACCCAGTTTGCCTTTGACCTATATCCAGACAAAGAATGTGCTGATCACTATTCCTGGATTAAAACAAGAAACCTGAGAGCAAAGGTATACTTTTGCAGGGGCCTTGATCACCACTGTTAATATGGTTGCGTACAGGGTATTTGACAACATGATAGAAGTAAACCAGTGGAGACACGTGCTCTTTGACTGCATGTGAGGATGGACACTGAACAGTTTCCTTGGGTTTTTTTCAGCAGACCCCTACACCAAAGAAACATTTCTAGGTGTTTACGTGAGCAACTGGCTCCCTAGGGCCTGTGTTTCTCCAGGACCAGTGAGCATGGTTATGAATAGCACAACTTCCCTGGTTGTTCCAGGAAGAAATATGCTTGTGTTGCCCTAGTGTAGTTGTGCATTCTTCTGATACTGTGTGTGCACATAATGCAACACCTCCTGAACGACAGGATCAGAGACCTCAGGAGTCTCAAGGGGCTTTTCCACTTCTGTCTGCATAGGAAGCACGGGAAAAAACAGCCCATGAGGCAAGTACATCTTTACTTTGACCATCCCAAAGCAGGTTGTCAGGGTGTCAAAATTCTCGAAGAGAACTTTGGGGAGTCCAAAAGGCTATTGTTTTGTTTCAACGATGAAGGGAGAGAGGCTAATAAAATCATAGAAGTTTATCTTTTCATTGGGAGCTGCTTTGTAATATGGATAAATGGTATTTGTCCTGTGTGGAAGCCTGGCTAGCTGACTGGGGACATGTAAACATCGAAATGTTGCCAACTCAACATTCTGGGCCAAAGGTGAAGGTACCCGGTGAGGAAGACTGTGAATCTTCCTCCAAAAGACCCCAATAGACGACCACCAGACGGCAGTACGCGTGCGCCAGGAGGAGGGACCCTATGATAATAGATTCTTAGAAGTAATTAGAATATCCCACCTTTTCTTAGAACTAATTATACTAACCCAGCCTATAATAATAAATATGTAAGAAGTAAGCCTATAAAGTCTGATGATTGTATTCCAATAAACGAAGTATGCTGATCACTCATATTGAGTGACTGTGTCTTCCCTCCGTTCCGGCGAAAGGCGCAACAAAGTGGCGCCCGAACAGGGACCAAGGAAGAGGAGCGGCAACAGTCCTGCCACCAACAAGCACATCTCTGAGGACCAGCAGTGTGGGCAGTTTGGTCCTGGCTAAGAACTGTGCAAGCTTCCCATCTGATTTTGTCATAGCAGCCCACTCATGCTCCCATATAGATCTGATGTGAAAACCGGCTCTCTTTAGGTAGTCCCTCTTTTGCTGTGTTGTGTAATACAAATATCCAAAGGTGGTCCCCACCAGAGGGTTCTGGTCATTTTCATGGTAGCATTCAATACAGCTATGGGAAAAGCACCCATGAAATTCAAAAGCTGTTGGCATCCCACCCATAACTGCATAGATATCCAAGAAGTAGGATCCTATTTGATATTCACCACCTCGTAATGCTTGACAGATTTTAATGTGTTCCTTTTCAGCCACATACATATGCCATTGAAGGGGGCTGTATATCTCTTTTTCCTCAAATGGTAGCCACCTGAAGGATGAGTGCTGCTGTGTTAGGTTTAAGAAACATAAACCAGTATGTGGACATGCAAGTAGAGGCCAGTGTAGTACACTGTAAGGGATCTTCACCTTCACCTTTCACTGCCTTCTTTCTCATAGAATATGTGATGGGTTATCACCAAAATCTCATTTCTGTGTGATTTCAAAAGTGTTTACATCTTGCTGGCAATAGTAACTCAGTTGGTTTTGCAAGTCAAAAATCTCCTGACTAGCTGTGTGCCACGCTGAGAACTGTTCTTTCTCTTCAAGCACCATGCTGTCCACCTGATAATATTCCAGTGGTGGAAGAGGCCCCACATAAATTTGTTGTTCAGCAGTGTTGAAAAAATGGGGGAAATAACCTTTGCAGCCCTCAATACCCAAAGCTTAGGGAGGGCTGCTTAAATTCATGGGTAGAAAATTTGGAGTCAATGAAACGTATACTCAGGCTGGCTACTTCTATGCATGTGAGTTCATCACCTTGGGTAATAAAACTGCACATCCACTCTTACCTTCAGAAACCAGCTAACAACAAAGTAGCCATCCCAGCCTTTGGCATTATGTGCTGGGGAAGTGTAGCCCCAAAACCTTGTGTTCACAAACAACTGAATAAAGTCCACAAGATGTGTCCTCCCATTCTCATTCAGTTTTCCCTTTCTTCTTCATCCCAAGGGGCATCTGGTGCTAACTCCATGGAAAAAATGTAGCTGGGCTATGTGTCCCAGTCTCCTGCATACATTCCATGTCATAGGCAATATAGCCCTACCCTGCCTCTGGATTTTTGATCACGGGCATCAACCAGTGCTGGTTTACGCTACAAATCTGTTCACAGCACAGCCCACACTTCCAGACTTCACATTTGTGATTTTTTTCTACATAGGCTTTACACTTTTCATGGAAGTCTTAACCAAACAATCAATTTGTTTTTTAACAACCTTGCAACAGGCCTTGTGCCTCTGCAAACATTTCCCGGCCCTGCACAGCAGCCTCCAGCTGGTGCATCTTATCTGTCTGAAGTTAACTGCACAGTCATGAGATAAGCAGAGCCAGCAATAATATTTACAGCTATGGCCATGGTTATACAAAGCTCACAAAAGTTTCTTACCCCAAATACCTGCCTAACATCCTTAACATCATAATAATGTTAATCGTGTAAAAGGAGGAAACAGGTCTTGTGATATCAAAGACCATAATTTGGCTTAAAAGTCCCCCAACCCTTTTTCCCCCGGACAAGAGAATGATGAGTATATTTACATGTTGCAGGTTCTCAAACAAGGAGATGTCACTCAGCATGACCTTCCTGTACACAGTCCACCCCAGTTTGTCATGTAACCCTTTTTCTCTGCTTAACAATTCTGCATCTCTTAGATCCCTCACAGCTGTAAGCTCTGTGTAAGACTCCAAGCAAAAGAGAGATTATTGTGACTGTTATTTGGATGAATTAAATAACACCACTTTTTGTCCATAGTTTTGAAATGGAAGATAGACTGTAGGGTTCTGCATACCCCATTCCTAATGGCTTTTACAATAATGGTAGCTAGGCAGAAAGACTGATCAAAACACAGCTCACTTTTACTTTGCAAAATAGTACCTACCCAGTCTAAAAATTTTGCAGCCTTCATATAGCATAAATTAATAGTGTGAGATTACAAAGAGTTACGCATGCTGGCAGTTTCAAGACAGAGCTGAGCATTATCACGAGGTTCAAACAGATGGTGTAAATGGTGAAAAATCTGCTCTACATCCCAAACAAATGTTTCACAAGCTTCATGTAGTGACACCTGATCTAAATTAACTAAGCTGTATCATTGTATATACTGTCTAGCGTTGAACCTCAGGATCAGCCATTCCCACTGCTGGATATGCACCACAGAAGCCATGGGGTGATCTGCCACCTCCTCCACTGCTCCTGCTGCATTTGAGGGTGGCATAAATCTGGGCATTCAAATGTCTCCTCAGTGCTTGGGAGTGCAGCCAGTGGAACCCCTAGGAAATATGCTTGTGCTCAACAGCCTCTTGCTCTTCAGGCTGCTGTAGTAACTGGGAAATCCCTTCAAGAAGGCCATCTTCTACTCTAGTGGGACACATGTTTACTGGCCCACTAGGTTCAGAAAAGTAGTTTGCATATAAGTTTGCCCCATAACCACTTGCCAACAAGACACTTGCTCTTTCTGCAGTGGCTGCGGTCTCTAAGTGCACAGGGCTGCAGCGTGTGTCCCAAAGTCTGTGTCTTGCTGCTTGTGCAGTAATCATTGTCTAACATGCATGCTTGGTCTTCTGCTTTTTCTTTGCAGCCTTGCCCTAAGGATAAAGAGACATATTTAGCAGCACAGGTTTCTAGTTCAACACACTAAAAGAAAGCAGATTTGCATCAGACAGACTCCTTGAAATACTAGTATTTAATTTGCTAATACAGTCTGGGTAAAAGTGGGAAAGTCTCTTACCCAGTCAAGAACAAGAGTGAGGCTAAGATAAGAAATGACTGGCAACCCCTGACATTCCAGTCATGTCTGTAGTTACAGGTGACCAGCCTCAAAATAGGTCTTTAAAATGCATTTTAAAGTCAATTAACCAGTTTTAGAAGGAACATCTCTGAGGGTCTACAGAGCTGCAAATGGTCTGAGAGGGTCAAGCTCTGCTGCGGGAACGGATTTAGACATTTGGCACAAAAACAGAGTTCGCTGGATGTCAGCAGAGAAAACCAATTGTTTTGCTGTTATTTTGTTTTATCAGAGGGTCCCAAGGCAGACTTAAGACTAGAACAGCTGGCAGATCAATACCAACTGGGGACTAATCAATTTTTGTAGCCTCCAGTTGGAGGCTACAGAAAATCAGAATCCAACTACAGAGCCTGTATTAGGAAACTACCTTAAAAATTTCCTACCATTGTCGCTGTTGAAACAGTGCCACAAAGGCTAGTAGCTGGAGAACAGTATATTAACCACTATTTTAGTCACTGTCATTTAATCTTCCCCAGAGCCCATCAAGTTGAAACTCTGAGTAACTCCCATTGACCAAGCTGTACTGATAATGGCAACAAGACCATTTTTTAAGAGAGTGTACCAAAGACAGGTGTTACACTGGCTAAGTCAGTGTAACAAAATCTGGCCTATGATATTTGCAAATAGAAAGAAGAAATTTTAAATGCGGCTAAACATGGTATGTGGAGATAATGCAACAGTCACAGCAAAAAATAAATATCTTTAAGACAGAAAAATAATCATGCATCTTGGTGTGGACTCTGCTGAGCTGCAGCCAGGGATGAACAGTTGTGATAGTCAAAGAGCAGCCTTCTCTGAATTAAAGGTAAATGAAGGAGCTCTGAAATCAGTAGAAACCCCTGCTCACAGAATAGCTCAATAAAGGGAGAACACATTGTTCTAGGTAGAAAGAGAAAAGCATTACAGTGCATTTTAAAGATGTAGTGAAGGACTATAGAGTGGAAAACATGTAGGCTCCAAACTGGTGAAGAAACCACAATAGTGGAGCAAACACAAACTGCAAGCGCAATCAAAGA